CCCCCCCCCCCCCCCCAAAGAGAAAACATGTACAAACTCTATCAAAGAAATTTCTTACCTAAGTCATCTTTGTCCAATTCTATTTCCTCCATGATTGCGGGCATAACAAATGAAAATGTTTTCCTATTGAAATAGTACAATGTATAGCCAACAAACATGGCAGTGAATATCACTGTTCGGTAGTAACTGTAACCCTTATCCATCATGGTACAACCAAAAGTAATATCTCAAAAAAAAATCTGGCCAGTAGGATTTTTAAAATTTTAGCTCACTGCTATAGTGAATAGTTGTAATAGAAGAGTTTTTAAAAATAGCAACTGCTTTTAAATCTGAGAAAGGATGCAGTAAAAAAATTTGAACAAAAGAGCAATTTTGATTGAGGAAAAGTAAAACCGCAACTATCAGGGTATCTGAGCTGGTGGTTGGACTCTCCAGTTAGAATTCACATCCTGAGATATTTTTGCACAGCTACAGCTTTGTCAATGTTCTTTTTTCTTCTCAGTTTTGTTTACAGCTGCTTTCTGGAGAATTATTAACTTAGGGAACTCGTCATTCAGGACAAAACCATCAACCTACAGAAAAAGAAAAAAGTAAAGATAGCTTGTGATAAACCGCACAGTACGCAAAGTGGAAAGATTAGAGGAGCCTTGCTCAGTAACTCTTCTGACCTATGAGCTCAAACAGGACAAACTGAAAATAATCAATCCCTTTCCAGAAAAAAAAAATCAAACTAGACTCGCTACAAGGAAAATACAGGGTAGATTAAAGTCCTACAGCTTCAACAGGCAGTCTTGCATTTAGTTTCTGGTTTCCTTTTCAGTGACTCCACGAGTATTATATAGCTCTGACCTTCTCTGCTTTTTTAGCTGGTTCAATACTGCAGAGCAAGACTCTTCCACTCTAGTGAATTTGTAGACAGAAGATGACATTTAATCCAATCTGAATTATGCTAATGTAATAAGAAACAAAGGTATCTTCCACAATAATTTTGTAATTCTCCCAGTTACTGTTATGTTCTGTGGCTAAAACACAGATAATCACCCACTTGGGACTGTTACAGGTCTTATTAATATTTTCAGAATCTGCAAGTGATTGTATAGATATAATTCAATACCCTTTCTCTAGCAAATTAATGTATCTGTAGAAATGTCCAGGACAGTGGTGCAACTATATTTTTGTACCTGGTAAAGCAAAGAAACCAAATAAACTTTGAGGGAGGGAGTGCAAAAGAGAGAGATGCAACAGGACAAAAAGCAAAGAACTGGGCAATATTTATCCCAAGTGAAAAACCAGGGAAGTCAACCAAATTGCAGTAAGTTTAGATTTTGAATAAAGACTCATTAATATAGAAGAATAAATGGGTAACTGCCTAATTGGGTAACTGCCTATGACAACATAATGAGGCTTGAGAAATAATAAATGCAGAAATTCAGAGTGCAAAGGAATGCAAAAACAATGAAAAGCAGTCAAGCATGAAGTACTGATGCAAGTCTTCAGTCAATAAGCAATTACTCTCTTTTTGAACAAAGAAACTGCATTCAAGCTCATTTTGCATTTTGGAGACCAATCGAAACTTCAAAAGAAATCAAAAAGAAAAGATGCCCTGACAGTATGGGGATAATATCTGAGCAGCAACATGGAAAGAAAATCTTACGAACTAAGAAAAATATTTTTTAACATTCATTAGTGATGTTAAATAGCAGGTAAGAGACTAGTTGACTAACCACATGAATTCTTAGCAGGGATGAATTCTGTAGTCCCCGGGCATGGGGCCAACAGCCAGTGTGCTCTGGCCTCACTCCTGGGAGCCCCCTGCCATTCCCGTACCAGAGGCCGCAGTGCAGGGTGCCAGGCAGGAGCCAGTCCGTGAGGGGAGCCAGTTAAAAAACTAGCTCCCCTGGCGGACCAGCTGTCCGTCTGATACAGAGGCAGCAAGGAGGGGTGGAGGTGGAAACGTGAGTGGTAGACCAGATTACATAGGCTTCTCAGTTTATCTAGTCAGCTACTCATTGACATCCCTAACATTCATGGAGCAACTAGTTTTCAAAGGACTTTATAAACATAATGCTGAGAATATTAATTCCTTGTGGAAGGGGCAATATCTCAATTTGTTTACTGGACAGTACAAAGCACCAAATGCATTACCTAACATATAATAAAACAAACAACAATTCATTTATAGCCGTCGTGTCCAACCACACTCAACTGGCCAAATAGCCACATGTGGCCAGTGGCTAACATGTTGGACACTATGGATTTATAGGGTTTATTTTTAGGCAACTTATGAGTATTTTGGTTTTATACACACACATGGATTTCATCAGGTTTTAAAAACTGTTCCTCTTTGAGTTATATTGAAAGTTGGCTTTGCCTCTGATGGTTAAACTCCTATCTTTTGCCTCCTTTTGGCAGAGGTATTCTTAACTGAAAGTGAAGGTGAGAGAAAGGTGTATCTCCTAAAGAAGAAAAAGTCTGATTTCATACCAAGAATGTCAGTCTTGGCCAGCCAGTTTGTAAAACTTGTGACAATCACACAAGTTCTGTGGATCTTCATGTGCTGGGAGTATCTCAGTACAGTGCTACAGCATTCCTGGAAGCAACATGCAATCACTTTGCTTGATGGCTGTAGAAAATGGCAAAGGCTACCACATTCTAAGTGCATGTAGCTAAGACCCAGTAAAAGATGGTTAAAGATACTAAAGGAGGGCATGAAGAAGGTCTGTGTCAGACTGGAAGATGCACTTGACAGAACTTGTGAAGACAAAGAGTAAGTGCCACTGATCCCAACTTACAAGATAAGGCAAAAAGTGCAGAAGATAAACACACACATGTGTACTTACATAGTTATAATCAAATTTTAAAAAATATTTTTTAACTCTTCCCCTTTGAATTATATTAAAATGTTGGCCATGTCCAAAGACTTTGACACAGATAAGTTCCCAGCAAGCACCAGCTGTCCTCTCTTCAAACAGGAGGAAAGAGAAACATTGAGGGTATATTTTTAAACTACTTCTTATATATGTTCCTCATTAGGATTAAGTTGGTTTTAAACTAAAGCTAGAAACCTGATTCTAAATGTAAGAACACATCAAGGGAAGATGCCTTTACATTTTCAAACTGAATGCTCCTACACTTCAGTTAGTCTATAAGGTGCCACAGGACTCCTCATCGCTTTTGCAGATTCAGACTAACACGGCTACCCCTCTGATACTTTACATTTTCAGATAGTTTTACAAACATCTGGCTCTTTTGATGGATTTATCTGTGTTTCAATAGGACATTTAAAAGTTCATTTCATTTTTCAGAACTTGACAATTCTGCCTGCTCCAAAATCAGCCTACACAGAGAACAAGAGGGTCACATGATTCTTTCTAGCTATGCATTTCCCACATATTTATCATTGTAGATTCTAGGCCAATGGTTCCCAACCTGTGGTCCATGGATCCCTCGTGGTCCCAGATGGTACTGCAGGGGGTCTGTGGAAAGTTTAAAAGTAAGGATCAGGCCACCCCAGAGGGCCCAATCCTTACTTTTTTCCCCCCTTTTCTTTTTTTTCTCCCCCCCCCCGGGGGGAGCCGTGAAATTTTAACAGATTGAAAAGGGGACTGCGCGCTCAAAAAAGGTGGGGAACCGCTGTTCTAGGCATCATGTAACAGCCACCAGCAAAAAGTACATAGGGAAACAGTGCATGTGGTTTGAGTCACCAAGACTAAGAAGTATTCAAAATAACAACACTGATACAATATAAAATGAACCATATCAACAGCTAGCACTATCAGTCCCTTTTACTGTTTATATTACTAGCACCTAGAGGCCTAAGTGTGACCATCATGTTAGGCACTACAGTAAGAAACATTTCATGCCCTTAAACAGCTGTTCCTAACTGCTGGTCCATGGCCCAGCACTGCTGGTTGCTGGGCTGCTGCACACCACCAGGCCATGTATATGGAGGCAGGGCCAAGATGGAGCAGGGTGGTGCACCACAGACAGGCAGACGGGGGCATGGAGGAGGTGGTGAATAGCCTGCACAGCCTGGTGTCCCCTGGGCTGTTGGCAGAGGCTGACGCTATGGGCTAGATCCGTGGTCACCAACTAGTAGATCGTGATCCACCGGTAGATCTCAGGGGCTCCAAGAGTAGCTCTTGAGCCTTCTCTGAACTGTGCACCTGCGCAGTGCATTTACATTAGATTTCCTCATGTAATGTAGGCGGGGCTTCAAGGAAGGGGTGGGGCAGTAGATCTTCGCCTGTTCTGAGACTTAAAAAATGAGCTTGGGTGTAAAAAGGTTGGAGACCACTGGGCTAGATGCTGGATTTCACCAGCTCTTCTGGGAGGGGCATATGCAGGGTGGAGCTGGGATAACATGCTGGGTGAGAAGGGTGGGGCTGTGGGAGGCAGGTTGCAGTTGCCCAGCCATTGACCACCCCATGCCCTCTGTCTGGCACGGCTATGACTGTGGCCGCATTGGCAACACTGTGTGTTGCAGTGGGGTACTTTCCCACTGCATGTGCTCCCACGTTGGGTGCCTGCACGAGCCTGACTATGCACAGTTCGCCCCACAGAAGGAGCTTCGGCCCCTCCTGGCTTTGGCCCCATAGGAGTCCGCCGTATGATTGCCACAAATGGTCTTGCTTGTGAGATACTTGGCTGGAAGGAGGGAAAACAACGTACATTTCTTAACAGTAAGAAATTTAAGTTTGTGTATGTGTGTGGCCTCAGGGGAGGGGCTGGGAATATGGGTGGGTGCAGGAGTCAGGGTTGGAGTGTATGAGGGGACTGGGGCAAGGAAATGGAGGGGGGCAGGAGTCAGGGGAGGGCGGTATGAGATTTGGTGGACTAGTAACATTTTGTTTGCATATTCATTATTTGCATAATGAATATGCAAACCTGCAAATAAAATATTACCAGTCCACAAAAGATTTGTTAATGGGTTTGCCAGTCCACAGTATAAAAAAAGTTGAGAACCGCTGCCCTAAAAAAGTTTAAAAGCTGAAGCTAAGCTTCTTCCTCTTTCATGTCCAGTATCCTGTTTCCAGCAGTAGCCCAACCTGATGTTTCCAAAGAAATTGAGAGAGCCCACAACACACATATTAATACTACACAATATGGGGATGAGATTAAATTGGGGGAGGTTGCTTCTAGAACTCTAACATGAACACATGTTGCCTTGAAAACAGAACTAGGTTCATAAACTTACCCAATCCTTTTAACCATCCATTCACAGTATTTAAAACATTAAAACATCAAGTTTAACTTATACTGGGACGCAACACATTATGCTGCTCAGGTCTGATATAATTAAATATATAGCACCAAAAAGTGTACCAGGCATTTTACAAAGACATAGGTTGCTGACACCAAGAATTTATTCTAACAATTGTTAGCCATTTTAACATGTGCATTGCCCTACCTGAGCATAGAAAGAGCAAGGTTCAGAACAGGCAGCAAAGGACTAGCAGTATGGTGTGGGTAGTGCAGCTTGCACTGCTGTAACTGGAGCTGCACGGATATAGATAAGGGCCTGGATTGTTAAGGGACAAGAACTAAATATAAAAGTCTCTTCAGCTGCTCATCCTCCAGGTGAACGCTCACAGGAAATGGATACCAAGCAAAAGGCTAGAAAACTGCAGCACTCCTGCTGAGGTCAGGGCAACCTGGTGCACGGACTGCAGGCCTTAAGTGTGGAAAAGGCTTGTGCACAGGAGCGGGGGGTTCTGTACCGTAAGAGGCCAGTCTGTACGGTTATGTGGCTGAGGGAGTGGGGCATACTGTGCGCGGTACATGATTTACGTGTCTGGAGGGCTACGCGGGGGAGAGGCCGGGGGCAAGGTGGCTGAGGCCTGAGGGGTTCTGTGGTAGAGAGGCCCGGGCTGTGTGTGGGGAGGGGCTGCGCAGTGGAGAGAGGGGTATTTAGCTAATAGGTCTCTGTATTTTGCCTTTCTTTA